TTTTCATTTTGTTTGGTTTCTCTGAGCTTGGACTTTTTGCATATACCTAGATACTCACTCTCAGTCCACCCTGTCTCCAGGCTCCTACCTTGAGCTCCCACGTGGCTTCCTTTAACAGTGACCTATGACCTATAAGCCAAAATAAACCCTAGCTGCTTTTGGTTATGGTGTTGACCACAGCGGCAAAAAACTTTTAGGACAAGTCCATTCTGTTTCTTAAGTTTTCTCTATAGATGATTATCTGAACTACAAATACTAAGAGTTCTGTTGTTTTTCTTTCAACCCTTTTTTTTAAATTTGTAACTATGTGGGTCAGGTTGTCCAGGGTGGTGTTAAACAGTAGAAATGACAGCAAGAGCTCTTGTCCTCTCACTCGATCTAAAGAAATGAAGATTAGTACAGATGTTTTATGACATTACACAAGTTCTAAAATCACTAGGAAATATGTTTCCTACATCTCTCAAGATAATTATGTGGTACTTGTATTTAGTACATTAACTGAATGAATTACAGTGTTAGAGTTTCTCAAGGTAAATCACTCTTGCATGATGGATCGACCAAGGCCGTCATTCCTTGCTTCGATGTACTTGCTAGGTTCAGTAGCTGGTCAAATCTACTAGGCCTGCCATAACAAAATACCAAAGACTGGTCAGCTTAAACAACATAAATTCATCCTCTCCAGTTCTGGGAGGTATACGATCCAAGTGTCTGCAAGATTGACCGAGGACTTTGCCCTGGTTTACAGATGGCTGCTGGCTGCTCGCATGGCCTTTTCTCTGTGCATACACATTCCCACTACCTCTCATGTGTATCTAAAGTTCTCCTTCTTATAAGGACACCAGCAATATTGGATTAGAAGCTACAATGTGACTTCATTTCACTTCGATTAGATCTTTTAAAAGCCCATTTCCAAACACAGTCTCACACATACACTCATAGGTGAACTTGATCCACAAGTTCTCCACAAATGAGTTGAGAAGATTTGGAATGATTTTTCTACTATTGGAACAATTTATGTAAATCAGGGATTATATGGTACTTGTAATTTTGATAGAATTTCCAAGTTAAACATACATGACTCAATTTTTTAAATGTATGCAACAAAGGAGTTTTTATTTACATTTACATTTCTTTAGTATTTGTTTATTTCTTCTTTATTTATTTATCTTGCTTTTCTGAGACAGGGTTTCCCTGTGTAACCCTGGCTGTCCTTGAACTTGCTTTGTAGACCAGGCTGGCCTCGAACTCACAGAGATTCTCCTACCTCTGCCTCCCAAATCCTGGGATTAAAGGCGTTCACTACCACAGCCCAGATCCTTTTTTTTTAACACTAGAGATCGGCCCCAGGGTCTCATACATGTTAGGCAAGTACTCAACCCTCAGATTCTCTAGCTCTTACCATCCTAACTGTGACATTTCATATTTTTTTACTTTTTGCAATGTTTCAACTTTCTTCACATTTACACTTCATTACTTCATGTTGATATGGAATTCATCTGTATATATAGTGTTAGACTGAGATTTAATTTTATGTTTCCCCTTAATGAGAGTCCTTTCCTACAGTTGTCTAAGTAACTTCCCATTTCTTTCAGAAATTAATAAAACTCCTTATGTATAAAATTTCTACATAAGAACCAAAAGATGCTTATTTTTATTTTGCTTAAATTTTATTGTCTTTTTCACAAGTCAAAACTTATAAAAATTAGTACTAAGAATTAATTTTATCATATACATTCACAACATCCCAAGCTACAGCCCAAGCTCATGACCCCATATCAGCCTTTTGTGTATGTTTATTAAGGAAGCAGGCAGAGACTTGAAAATGCTATCTGTAAATTAACAGTCATATGATCCTGAAAAGCAGGCTGGGACTTCTGACACCATACTCTGTGTGTACACTCAACTCCTCTACTGACAGCAGATCTCCCAGTACCTAATTTCATTTCTCAGTAAGTGATCATTTAGCACCCACTGTTCCAGGTATTGTCAGAGGCTCTGTCTTTGGAGAGCCCCTGGAAGGCCCAGAGACTCTCCTAACCCTACTGAGAATGGATCAAAATGGCCAAGTCAGATAAGAAACCATGGAGTCACCCAGACTGTGCCTCTGCCTTGGAGCAATTTCAACTTTTTCTTCTACTCTGCCAGAAACACTATGTCTACCCTCTTCTCTGACATGTGACACCTGTGACATAGGACACCTGTGTTGACAACTAAGTTAACAACAATACTGTTTAGTCCAAATCCTGGCTGCAATAATACACCTGGTTCAGGATGTCCTTTGTGGAAATGGAGAGCTTTACAAAGAGCCTAGTTTTAAGGGTTTCTCTGCCCTATTTCAGTGTACAAACCCTGTTATAAGAGCGTTTCTGACCATCTGAATCACATCGACATTGTCAAGTGTCCTAATGATTAAAAGCACTCAGTTTGATATCTGAGATTTTAATGGTGATTAAATAAGAAATGAACCTTTCTTGGAACCATGCCAACATCTGGACTTGACAAGCTGGCTGTTACCACAGGCACTGGGAAGGTGATTCCCTTTGCTGTTTGATTGACTTCTTTCCTGAAAAAATGGGATTGTTTTCCTTCTTGAGCATAAGAGAATCTCTCCAAGCATTGTTGTTTATGTGCTCATGAAGGCCACTCAAAACACAGAACTTTGTGTCCAAATCAGACAAACGAACCCATGGCTTCTCCCATCATCATGGTCATTGGGCATCAGTTCCTGGCTGACAGTTTTGGTCTTCTGATCCAATGGCTGCTTGTGCTGCAGTTGGCATGGGGCTGGGTCCTCCTGAAGATGCTTCTGAAACTGCTTTGATGTTTCAGATCAAAGGTAGTAAGACTAGCGTTCAGCTGGACCGACAGCCTCTAAAACAGAGAAACCCTGTCTCGTAAAACCAAAAAAAAAAAAAAAAGACTAGCGTTCAGTACAAATAAAAACTCTAATCTGCAACATGCACTGATTGTACCACAGGAGCTCATGTTGTAGAAGGCTCAGATTTTATTGACAAGATGATGCTAATATGATGACGGTTGAGCTTTCAGAATTTTGCATCAGTCCTCCATTTCTTGTGTGATTTTTCCAGCCTGGGCTCTGAGCATACTCAGATCATGATTGGCTTATCCATTTCCTCTAAAGACGGTTTTGTAATGAAAAAAAATGCCACTATGCTGGTGCTGGAAGAACATGAATGGGTAGCTCCAGGAAAGACCTGGATCAGTAGAAGTTTAGGGCTAAGGACTTTCAGTTGATGCTAGTCATGGAAATGCCCCTACCCCTGAAGGGCAAGGTCCCTTAACATGCCAGCATGCTACTGTGGAAGACACAGAAGCACAATGTGAAAATCTGATGGGGTATGTCCTGTATATGTGTTTCTCTTATTGGTTAATGAATAAAACACTGTTTGACCAACAGAGGCAAGAAGATAGGCGGGAGTAGGAGATGAGGAAAATTCTGGAAAAGGTAGAGAGAGACCTCGAGGAGATGCCATGTAGCTGCCAAAGGAGTAACAGGTCCAGGCATTCTCCAGTAAGCCAAGACCATGTGGAAATACATAAAACAATAGAAATGAGTTAATAATTAAGACAGAGATAGCCAATCAAAAGCCTTAGCTACTGGCCAACAGTTTTATAATTAATAAAGCGTCCTGTGTGCCCATTTGGGGCCTGAAGTGGCTGTGGGACCTGGCGGGACAAGAAACACCAGCAACAATACACACTACGTCCCTGCTCCTGGGAGAAGATATTGTTGCAAATAAGTCATCAAGCAGCCAGTTAGGGACCACTCATACATACTCTTGCAGGTTCTTCAAGGAAGTAACCTCAAGACATTGGCTAGGAGTTTATATGGGTGTTCCTCGCTGCTTATACTACACAAACTTATTTTTGAAAATTACTGCCAACTGGATTGGACAGATCCAGGATTTGAGATCAGTGATGTTGCACTGTTAAGAATGAAGACACATGCCTGTAATTGCAGCACTTAGAGTCTAGAGCAAGAGGGCAGCCTGTGTCACAGCATGAGTTCTAGGTTGGCCTGGGATAACAGGGAAACTTTGTCTCACACAAATAGCAAAAAAGCAATTATAGACACAGGAGTGTAAAACTGAGAAAGATCTGTTGGGCTCATGATCTCTGTGTGGTATTACTGCAACACTGTATCCAGGGCATGCAGGATAAGTCATTTGTAACTAGCTTCGCAATGTTTTAAAAAATGTTTTTAAAGTGTTTTAACATTTAAGACTAGAAATAAAGTCAAATTTATATAATCTACCAAAACTTAAAGTCCTGGGATATACACTGAGGAGTGAATTCAAGAACAGTTTGGGAGACACATGAAGACTCCATTTTTAATTTAAAAGAAAAGCAAAACAGATTTAAACAGCACCTTGGTTTATCCTGTCTCCAGGGGAGAACAGTTAATTTCTGATAAACAGATGGCAGTATCCAATTTCCTTTTTATACCCAACAACCAGACTTTCTGTTGTGCCCATGGGAATCCTGAACAGAAGCAGAACCCCAGCCTCTCCTGTTGCTGTGTGACTGACGTCAGACAGCTGTCAGTCAGCCCCTAGAGAAGGGGGCTCCTCTTTCTTTTCTAACCTCTGTTGCTAAAAGAGTCCCTGAAGGGGCTCTGGAGATGAGCAGATCACACTATGGCCAAACCCCTGATCTCCTCTTGTCCCAGCAGGGACTTCAGAGCAATCAAGGAATCAGCTCCAGCCAGTGTTTTACACTGTCATCTGGGCCCATACAACCAAACCTATGTGCTCATGAATGTCCCCTGATGTCCCACCACCCTCTCTGTTCTTAAAAACACCCATCCTGAGGGTCTTCTGAAATCCAGATAATTTTTCTTCCCATCCGTTACTGAAAGTAGTTGTGCACTTCCTGTTAACAATAACTATCAAACAAGAGAATAAATATTATACTAAAGTATCAAGTAAGACCTGGGCAGCCATATTGTTTCCAATCTTAAGAAATGAGTAATCAGATAATTAAGAATTGTATAGTTTTTATTATTTTACTATTAAACTTTTTTTAAATTTTGAAATGGGTTAATCTTAAAGTAAAACCTAGCCATATATTTGTCTTTACACATAATATACACTTAGGAAATAAATAATGGTCCAAGCATTTTAAAAAAGCATCAGATATACAAACAAGGCTTCAAGCCAAATAGATAAATACACAACTCACAGAGGGTTCAGTTTTCCAAGCTTCCATTACTAAACACAGAAGCCGGAAGTCACCGGGATGTGTGGCCAATAACAAGCTCTGCTTTGGTTAGAAAGCAGTCGCAGAAGCACATTGAGGGCCAGAGAGAGCTCTTTGCACTAAGGTTGAACTGGTTAAGACTTTGGGAGTTTGTCTTTAAACAGTGATATGAATTTGGTACAGTACAGATATAAAGAATGTCCATTGAAAGCCTAAACACAGAGAGTGATTGCTCTCCCACCCCAGCCGACGGTCACCCAGAAAAACTCAGCCTTTCTCTCAGGCATTCTTCTGTTTGTATATCAATGAAAGGGTTTGGATTCTACGGATAGCTCTGAAAAAAAAATTCCCGTTTGTCACATCAAACATACTGATAGGAAATAGTTGCAGACATTTTCGTGGAGTGGCAGAGGGGATTTCCTGGACTTCACCTCCAGGAAACCTCACGGAATCCTCAGCTTGGCCCCACCGACACCTTGATATAGTATCTAGGCAGGTAGCTGGATTTCGCTAAGCCTTGATTTCACAAAACAAGAATAACAGCTTTCCTGCACTCTGATTAGGTGACACACATGCAAGCTGTCTAGAAACTACAGAAGGGTGTCTCAGGTATCACATGTATGAGTTCACATTAAGATCTAGAACAGGAGGTTTCTCCCAGGAGCTTAACACACACATGGCACTGATATGAAAGCTAGCCATTTCACAGAAGAAAGAGCACGGTGTCAGAGCTCAATGCCAGCTCTGTCCATGGCAGCCGGTTTCTGCACGGCAGGTATGTGGAACACACTCAGTACTGCCTAGCTCTCTCAACAGTGGAGACTTTGTCCACCACTGTGACCACCATGCGTGGTTTTCTGCTTGCTGCTCTGCTAGTGATCAAGCATGGCCCTTAGAGGAAATGACACATAAAAGGCATCAGAGCCCCAGCTCTTTTAGCTTGTAGCTCTCCCCTCGGCCTTGTCTGTCTTTAACCACATGTATAACCCACGAGCCAATGGGCAGAGATCCTGATCCCACTGGCCCCAAACGCAAAGATTGAGTCCTGTGTCTACTGTGTCTACTGCCCTGTGCTAACTAGTTGAAATGCCCAATAACTGCTCAATCTGAGTATGAATGATATAAAAAGAAAATTGCCAACAGTGTGAGCTTCAGAAGGTGAGCTGGGGAGCACGATGGGATACCCAATTAGAACCAGGATCCATCAGTCTCACAGAGGAATACAGTAGGACATTAGCACCAGCCTGATCTCTTGTCCCCTCTCTAAGTAACAGGTCTGTCACTGGGGTAGGAGTCAGCTCTTGAGGGACTTGTCACTACAGTTCAGCGAGGGCAAGCAGCTGCCAACCTTCCACACAGAGCCGGTGTTCCCTGTGGTTAAACAAAGCCAGGGCTCACCGAACAACAGTGACAATGGCCCAGAGTACACCAGGGCTTTGGACATTCCAGTGCTCACACACAGCTTCCTGAGGGATCAACAGAAGTTTGGAGTAAGGATCATCACTAGGACTTCAGCAGGGCACAGGCCTGGGAGAAGTCACGGTTGTCACGGGAAACAAGCTGAGCCCAACGAGTAAGCGCCTCCTAGGGCTCCAAGGCTGAGGTCTTCCGTCAAGTGCATCTTCAGCAGTAACTTTCCTCCGTGTGCAGGGACAGTGGGGTGTGAGTGGGTGCAGGCTTCAGGACTTCCTGAACCCTCAGGGCAGCTCCACAAAAGGACTGGAAGGAACCACGTGAATATAGTGTTAGCTCACTCAACCAGCAAATGGGCAAAACTGTACCAAGGTATATCTATCAAGATATGAACCAAGACTGAGCACTCTGCACACAGGCAGGCCATTTTACTGATTAGCGTCTAGGAACAATGGGAATATTCCCTGTGAGGAACACCTATGGGAACCTGTCTGGGCTGCTAGGTGCACTTGTCACAGACATTGTATTCATGTGCTCTGCCCAACACATACACACAAGTGTGAGGAGGACTATCAAATGTCATTGCCTTTATCTAGAAACAAACTCTCCCATGGCAGGAAGGGAACAAGGTTGAATTCAGAGACCTGAGTCCTAGACTCAACTACAGGAGCTCCCTGAACTTTAGACCCCTCGTTGGTGAACAAGTTCATGTCAGAAGAGAGAAACCTAATGGCCCTGCAAGGGGCTAAGGATGCCCTGACTTCCTAGTGTCCCTTCATGGGGGGGGCAGTCCTCAGACCCCACAAGTCTGTGATTACTAAGCCTGGGGTGCACTGATGCTCCTTAGCAGAAGCCAGATCAGCTGGGGGTGCAGTCAGGCCTGCTGGGTTGGCAGACGGTTAATCACAGGGGATCCTTGCAAGTGGCTTGCTTGATAATTAGTACCTAAACCGAGGCGGGGTGCCCCATCTGAGCAGGTGCAGCTTCTGTACTGAAATGAGCAGGCGTTAGCGGAAAACGACCCATCACACACTAGAGAATCTTGGGAGAGAGACTTCATTTTTCCAAGCCTCGGGTTTCTCAGCGTCCATAGGGACAGTGGCACCTGCCTCCTGAGACTGTCCATAAAATTAGATGACTGTAAGTTATTGGATGCAGGTGGGCACAGGCTGCACACCCAGCACTGGATGCAGGTGGGCACGTGCTGCACACCCAGAATCCCGTAGCAGGATTATCACCCAGTCCTCTGCTGACGACAAAGGGCAGGAGGAGAGAGTATCTAGAGAGACAGCCACCCTCATCCTTAGAAGTTATTTTGACTTAGATGGCATAAGATAGGCCAGGGATCCCATTGCCACATACCATGACATGGACCTTCCTCCAGCTGAAACCATGTGGTTCCACACCAAGCAGTGTGATACCACACAAGACAGCCTCTCTGTCATCCCATTTGGCTCTACACACAAGCAATCCTGTATCTCAAAGTGGAGAGAATCAGGCCCTCTAACATCCGCTCATACCAACCAGGTTTCCAGGAAGTCTAATAAAATGTACTAATCTTACCTCCCACCCTAATGCCTACTGCAGCAGAAGGAAGCTAGGAAACTAGACTTCTGCCCAGCCCTGCTCACTATGGAGGAAACACCAACCTAAGATGAGGGGAAAGGGATACCAGTGCTGGGGTTTTATGAACATGTGCAGTGAGCACCTAGAGAATAAGACAGAGCAAGGACAGGGGGACAGTCACATTTCCTGAGGTTTGTCTCCCACCCTCCATCAGGTAAGTTTTATAAATGAGGGACTTCCCATCAATTGTCACTGCAAGTTACCTGGTTTCATTTTTCATTCGCCAGCCATCCCGGCACTTGTGAAACCACAGCTCTTGGCCAGGAGAGATGCTAGTCTTCTTAGGGTCTTGAGCACAAAATGTCAGTCTAAGAGAAAAAGAAACCACGGTTGTATCCAAAACTCTAGACAGTGCCTTCGGAACTGCCCATGCCTGATGCAGAACTGCCCGTCCCCGATGCAGGACTGCAGCATGTGTCTTGTTTTATGATTCAATCTCATGCAGCCTTGATCACACATTTCCTGATCTTCTTCTCTATCCTCCCAAAAGGCTGCCTGCCATTTGGGACCATGATCTCTTGGAAGCACCCATCCCTGCCAAAGGCCTGGTGAACCTGACCTTAGTACAAACGCGTTTGTCTTGGAATGGATTTTCTTTTATTGATACAAATTTAAGTTCAATTTTTTAAAATGTATATTTCTCCTCTTGATTAAGGATTGTGTTTATGCTGATCTTTTAAAACATAATGCATAATTAATTACAGATTATAGTTACCTATAATAGTCAAAACTTATGTTAGTTTTTCTAGATATACAGAAGTGTAGTTGAGATAGTCTTCAAACCTTTCAAAGACCTTCAAAAAATGTCATTTAAAATAGTTTAGGGTTTTTATTGACAATGAGAAATGTCTGCTCCTGGCACACCAATTACATCTGAGAGGAAGATGGGCATTGAAGAAATGTGTTATGGAGTTTGCTTTCAACATGGCAAGATTAGCCATTTGGGCAAGAAACTGCTCTTGCCTTTACTGTTTGTAGACTGGACATGCAGGACCCACAGGAAAGTGACTTCTGAACTTGGGCAGTCCTCAGGGTTCCTGCTTCATGGAAGAGTCTGCCAGACATTCTGCAGGACACAGAAAAATGACTGACAAACTGCCAATGCAGGTGGACAGTTTAAAATTTCCTACTTTGCTGAGAAGTCTACCAGGAACACTGTGGCATATGGGCTTAAGATGGATGCCCCAATGGTACAGGGGAACTTCGGGTGACTGTCCAGGTAGCGAGATGTCTCTGTCAATTCTAGTGTTTATATATTATCCTTCTGTGGTCTTTGATGAGTTGAAGACAGATAGTTATAGTTATAGTTTTCCTTAGTTATGATAAAAGATAAGATACATATAAGACTTTAGACTCATTCAAATAGGATAGATAATAAAATACTTTCTTTAAATCTTACTAAATGTTAATGAACAAAATATTGCTTGATAACTGTTTTGTTATATGTAATTTGACTATGTTAAAACCTTTCTTTTTATTTAGACAGAAAAGAGGAGATGATGGGAGATGTCATTCTGTAAATATGTCTCTCCTATTGGTTGTTGAATAAAGCACTATTGGCCACTAGGGAAGCAAGATAGGTGGGACTAGGAGTCGAGGAGGATTCTGGGAAACAGGCACAGTCAGTCACAATGTAGGATGCCAGAGGAGTAAGAGGTCCGGACTCTGTTCTCCAGTAAGCGAAGACCACATGGAAATATTCAGATTAGCAATTATGGGTTAAATACTTAAATCAGAGCTAGCCAGTAAGAAACAAAGCAAACAGCCAACAGCTTATAATTTAAAAAAGAGAGAGAAAACGAATATCCATTAGAAAGAGTACTTGGAACTCAATTACATGTCAGAATCAAAGGTTTGGACTGGAGAAATGACTCAACAGTTAAGAACACAAAACCCACTTGCAAAGACCAGAATTCTGTTCTCAGCCCAGGTCAAGTGGGTAACCTCAACTCCAGAGAATCAGATGTCCTCTTCTAGACTCTGTGGATACTCAGGTACACGCGCGTACGCGCGCGCACACACACACACACACACACACACACACACACACACACATGCATGTAATTTTAAATTTTTAAATTAAATCTTTAAAAAAATGTTCAATTCATGGACTGTCAAAGGCATAGGAAGAGTCAAAGTCCTGATAATCACCATTTCACAATAGTCTGTGAGAAACCATATCTTGTGGCTGAACCACACAGCCTTGGGGATGTGATTGCCACACTGATAACCAACACTGTGTAGGACACTTCACCCTGATGCTGAAGCAGGAAAAAGGCCATATTCTGGACCTTTCCAGGGGAGTTTAAACACCTAAGGACCTACATTTTTGTAAACCTACAAGACCAGAAGAGCTGCTGCCACCTGAATGGCAACAGTGTCCCACCGTGGGAGAGGAAGCGAAAGATGGAAGCTAGAATGCTGGGGCCAATATTGAAAACTAGTCTGACCACTTTGGAGAGTTAACTATCAATAGACTGGATACAGACAGGTAAACGTTCAAAAACCAACTCATAAAACAGTGTGCCCTATCATGGGAAATCTAGCTGCATCTAAAACAATCCTACATACTGATAATGGGTATAAACAAAGGTACCAATGGGAACAAAAACATAAAGGAAGAATTAACATTACCATTAGTTAATTAATGAAAAATTTTCATTCTATCTGGTTTGGAAGAAGGGAAGCTGTGGTCAGAGGAAGGGCACAGAATTGACTCCAAATGTTTCTGTGATGTTCAACTTTTGAAATCTATCTGAATACAAACTGGGAAACTGCTTACATTTGTTAAGCCTCAATGGTGATTTAATGAGTATTTACTACGTCTGAAATATTTTATAATAGTGACTGTGTTTCTGCTATCACACCTTCCAGCTCAGGCTGCACTTAAGAGCGCAGGGGAGGAAATCATGTACAATTATGGAGATCATAGCCTAGGTTCAAACAGCTCCTCAATCAAAAACTCCCCAAGTCACAGGTTCCTAGACTAGATACTCTAGTATCTCTCTCTCCTGCCAGCCTGGCCAAAGACAATAGACACAAACGAAATACATGAAGAATTGTAGTAGAGACAATGTCAGAAGAAAGACCAAAAGGATGTAAGCTGCTTCCTCCACCCCAAGGCTGATGGTAGCCCCTGCAGAGGTGGGGAAGAATCCACCCCTCTGCCGAGGGAGGTCTTCAGAGCCTCACTGGCTTTGAGCCCTCCTTGGCAGAGTTAGGGCACAGTCACAAGAGTTGATTTATAAAGGTTTGGATCTCCCAGTTTGGGGTTTAAAGAAACGAGAGGCCGCCAGCTGGCACAGCATAGAGAGCTCTTTGCTGGTGGAAGTCACAACCCCAAGTGAACAGCATGACTCAGAGGAGACTCGACACACTCTGAGAAGTGGGCTCTGGAAGGGTAGGTCTTGTGGAAGACTTCACTGTGTGCCCAGATGCTCCAATCTGCCCCTCAACACAGCACACTCCGAGAGCCCTGTCCAGGGGAAGACCTCTTCTTCTGGGCTGGCACAAGATTTAGCAAACAGCAAAAGCACCGAACTCCAGACAGCCCCACCCCACCCCTCCTCCTGAGGGCTGTGGTCAGGACATAAGGTGCACATACCACCATTTTCAGAAGCCCTTATCTGGGCATAACAGTCCTTGCAAAACATAGTTGACGTTTAGCTGGTGGCAGAGGCCTCTGGATATTACTCGTACAAAGGAGGAGACACAGAAGAACCTCGTGCTCTCCCCTCACAAAAACCCAAAAGGACAGGAACACTTACTTGCGCTGGGTTTCCCCAGACTTGACACGAATTCTTCGCACATGCAGCTCCCTTGAGGGGTTGCTGGGTTGAGACAGGTAGCTGCGGAACTCATTCCACAGGTTGTACCAGGAATGAGATATCCCTTCCCAGGTAAGTCTGAGCTTCAAGAGATCACCCAAGTCCTCCTCAGTGTAGACCAGGAAGGTGTTGGTGGCATTCAGCCCAATCTTGTCCACTCTGCAAGGTGAGAGACAAGCTCATCTCCTTCCCCTCCCTCTTGGGAAGCTGGCACAATGTGCCCACCTCATACCCTCCATGTCCCCCCTTCACAGGACCACACAGGAAGCAGAGTTGCACTCTATGCTGACAGATAACTTTGCCCAAAGTGCCTAACTTCATATCAAAACCATTCCTGAGCAGCTATCCCTCTATGCCACTAATTCCTAAGAGACAGTGCCAAGGAAGAGCAGAAAAGAGGAAACCAAATTTGCCTTCCCGATAAGCATGCTTGCTGTTCCTCAGCCCAGAGGCAGAGGTCTCCCTTCTTCTCTCTTCTCTTCCTGTCTCCTCTCTCATTTCATATGGACTGCCTTGATGCATCTTGCCAGCAATCGTGGATGCCCAAGCCTTGTCTCCAGCAAGACCTTGAGCCCATACAAGTATGACTGCAGCGGCCTTCTTTTTCCCTCCCTGCCTTTTTTATTCCTTATCACTTGTTTGTTGACCAGATCTCACTGTTTTCACAGGCTGGTCCAGAACTCACAATTCCCCTGCCACAGCCTCCCCAAGTGCTGGAATCCAGGCTGCACCGCCACACCTGACTCTGATATTTCTTCACAATGACAACATCGCTTGGCAGGATGCTCTGTGCCTGTTGGGAACTCCACAAATCTCTCCAGACCTCCATACACCCCTCCCACAGATGATCACTACAGGAGGTCCAGGGATGATGTTCACAGAGTTCCCAGGTCCCTAAGACCTCAGGGGTCAGGCGTGGTCTGAGATGAAACCACAGTTTCTGCGCGGCTGATCCAGCAGTTTCTCACGCAGCTGATTCATCTTGGGAGCTTCCCTCCCCAGAACCCTCTGAGTCAGTCACTTGAAGGAGAACACACAGTAGAAGAGAGAAGATATAGATGCCAGCCTGAACCACACAGCTCCTGCCCTGGGCAAGCCGACTTGACTCTCCTGTACTTCTTCCAACACCTGCCTAGTACTCTCACTCTCAGACTCACTAGTTCTCCATCCTGAGTCAAAGTTGCAAAGAATGTTCACACTTACACTTCCAAAGGCAGATTCTGGGAGTCTGCATTACTGCCATACAGGGTAACGTAGAAGGTAGGCTGGATGTCTCCACTGTTCTTGTAGTTGAAGATATGGACTTTCATCTGATAATGGTAAACTGGTGGACAACAGAACAAACACCTTCGTGAGCCTTGCTTGTCATCTCAAGAGTCACATAGCACACTGAATTTTAAAAAACAAGCATCCCTGGGCTGGAGAGATGGCTCAGAGGTTAAGAGCACTGACTGCTTTTCCAGAGGTCCTGAGTTCAATTCCCAGCAACCATGTGATGACTCATAACCATCTGTAATGAGATCTGATGTCCTCTTCTAGCATGCAAGCAAACACACAGACAGAACACTGTATACATACATAATAAATATTTTTAAAAAATAAAACAAGCGGGAGATAAATAAATAAATAAATAAATAAATAAATAAATAAAACAAGCATCCTGTTGGCCCTATCTAGCCTTAGCCGAGCTCTGATCTTGTTCTGCCTGATAGCATAAAAAGTCAATGAAGTACTGCCCTGAACTTGGGGAGTTAGATGTTTGGGGACTTGGAGCTATTTATGTTCTATTGTGTGACACTGGACCAAGGCTTTCACATATAAAACACTGTTTCACAAACTATCATAAACAGGTTATGCAAGTAAAAACTATTGCTTCAGTCTTCTGTGTACTTTGCTTCGCATCTGTTGAACATGAATGTAGAACTTTGAGATATTGATACTGATAATTATGGTGAGGCATTTACATGACAAAAGGGGTCCTTAGCCTGGATTTCTAAAGGAGCCATTTTACTAGGGCATGCACAATGTGATCTGGTTTTTAACAACTTGCTACATAGACCACAACTCCAGGGCTGCTACATACCCTGTACTACAAGAAAGCATAAAGGAAGAAAAAGACTAAGGGGCACCTGGGAGCATGAAGGTAGGTTACCTCGGAAAGGCATGCCAGCCCGGGTTTTTAAGTACATTTTGCTATTCCTCTTCTTCCTCATCTTCTTAGTGTTGTAGCCAATGCCATTACAACGGTTCTTCCGGCAGCTGAGGCAGATGCCCTTTTTGAAGCGGTTGGAGTCTGTACACTGGAAGGCGAAGCTCGGTTTGTCCTGATTCACCAGAGAATCAACAAAAAGGTGTACGGCTCTTTCATGTTCACATTTCACCACCTCTGTGATTGCTGGGGAGACAGGGAGACAGAAAACACATGGGATGAACATTCCTGGATGATTCCACTGCTCAGTTCATAGTCTCTGTACACCTCATCGGAGATGGGCTTACTGAGTCGACGGTATGTGATTATTTACCTAGATAGGTTCAGTGTTATTACAGAGCACAGAGGAATTAAGACCATTCCAGCCATCTAACTGCCTGCTCTGTGAGGGCAGGCAACACTAATATACTCAGAGAAATGAGGAGAAGAGAGTTCATACACTAACAGTAAAATAGAAGGCCAGAAGTGGTAGTGCACACCTTTATTCCCAGCACTCCCAGGAGGAGATAGGAGGACCTCTGTGAGTTCCAGGCCAGCCTATTCTACATAGCAAGCTCCAGTATAGCAGAGACTACATAGAGAGACCCTGTCTCAAAAACAAAAAGAAGAAATAAAGAGTAAAATGCAGTGTTAAAGTGCAGTCGTGTGGTAGATGACTAAGTCCTAACATTTATCTGGGTAGAAACACCAGAAATAAATGCTGAGCATGGTGACACATGTCTTTAATCCCAACACTCAGAAGGCATTGAGAGGCAGATCTCTGTAAGTTCAAGTCCAGCCACGGCTACATTAGTGAGATCCCGTCTCAAGAAAAAAGAAATCAATCAGTGATAACTGGGACTTGGAAGCATGAGCAAGCAGGTGAATGTTAACAGGTAAGTAGCATGACTCAGCACTGTGGGAGAGATAAGAATGATATGTTAGCTATACTAACAGCTCTGGCTGACTTAGAAGATGGATGGAGTGCATCAAACACAAGGCAGGTTAAGTACAAACTCACTTCCATATGCAATAGATCCCAAGACATCATTGAATCCACAGCCCGGCTGGAAGTCACCACCATTAGGATAGATGTCAATGTGACCCACAGGCATTCGAATCCCAATGCTCAAGCCAAAGGAGAGTGTGTAGGTATGCAGGACATCCACAAAGTCTGCATCATCAGGAGAGAGCCTCCTGTTGATGTCCGCCCCTTCAAACATGGGTCCTGCAGGATCCAGACCTGCAGCAAAGAAAGTCAAGATGGACTTAGATATCAAGGCATTGAGTCTTGACTTAAGAGTCCAAGTATGCAGAATGAAGATGCTCGATGAGCCCAGCAACCAAATCCAGATACAGCAGGCCTGGAAAAAAATAAGGAACCCATATATGGTTGATCCAATTTGTCATCATTGGAATTAAGTCCTATAATTATAGAACCAGCCTTCCCCCCCCCCAAACCCCCGTGCCTCAGCCAGTCCAGAACACTAACCACAAGATTTACCCTGCCATCAGCCCTGGGGAACCACAGGAATAAGAACTAGAGTTGCTCCTGACCCAAGCTATTCATCCAGGTCATCTGCCCCTAGGCACCTTCCACAGCAGAACTCTGTCTGTTCCAAACCAGATGGTTTGTATTTGAACTCACTTTTCCCCTTCCTTTTAGTTAAAAGTCAGGCCAAGGCCCAGGCCCAGGTATGGATAAGAAAAGCATCTCCAAATCTCAACATGGTGTGAACCCAAACACCAGACTTCACCAGGCCTCCACTTTTGCAGCCACAGTGGGAAAGACTTTCTGTGGGGGGAGGGCAAAGGAGGAGGGGAGGGAAAGGGAGAGGGACCTGGAACTGACTTGTGAAGCAACCTTGTTTCTTATCTAAATAAATTTAAGACTTTAAGAAAAAAAAGACTTTCTGCCTTGGCACCTTCCATGTTCAACCTGAAAGCTGCTCTACACAGGTCACTGGTTCTCCCACTCTGGACTGTTCAGATCATATGAAGGAGCTTGTTATAAACTTGGATTCTACCATGTAGCTCTAAAAAACACTGGAAGGACACCAAAGCAAGTAGTCGCTTGTGTGTGGACCCATCAGGAGAGCCGGTGAGGAGGGTTCTGGTCAAGCATACACAGCAGTGTGAGACCTAACACCGTCTCTTCATTCTGAGCTATACAAATATAAAACACTGTTTAAAAGAAAGAAATAATGAACAGACCCTCAAAGCATAAGTGCAGACTTCTGAGTCCCTGGGCCCAGAGAGTCCAACAGGCAGGGTTGGCATACAACACAGAAATGGAGATTGGTTCTCCAGGTGATCCTATAAGTCAGTGACTTGTGGACCAGACATAGATATCTGTTTCCGTTCTTCATATATGAAGTGGAACCTCAGGCCTCAATTCATATTGAGGGCAGGCCAGAGACACTGTTAAACATCCTAAAATGTGCCACATGGCCCTGACACACACATACATACACACCCCCAAAACCCCATGAACTCCCCCATAATGTCACTTCCCAGACTAAGAGACCCCAATCTAGAGACACCAAGGCCTGGAGGTAATATGGCCAAGAACTATGTCATTTTGTTGTGTTTTGTTTATTTTGCTTTGAATTTTTGAGACTAGGGCCTGGGGAGCTGGCAGAATGCTAATCAATGCCACATGCAGCAACCCTCATGTCTCAAAAGCAGGTCCTTCCCTCCAACCTCTTGGTGGAGTAGGGGTCCAGTCTCTGTCCAGTTGCATGTCCCACACTGTTGTAGGACTTACTGTGTAAGGCACGCTGGTCTGAAACTCTTAGAGATATGCCTGTTCCTGCTGGGATTAAAGCAAACATCACAATACCTGAAAGATCTGTCTTAAAAGGAGGCAATGTATGACAGATCCAGCACCAAAAACTAGTGGGATCACCAGAATGCACATGAGAGGGTCCCCCTAGGACAAAGGCTTTACATGTAGAGTGAACAAACCAAGGTTCATTACTAATGGAGATGGGTGGGTGCTAAAACCAGAAAGTCACAGAAGTTTGGATGATTCTATGGGTGAACGGCAGATTTTATGGCAGAATGTATCCCAGGCTACTTAGGGATCAACCCTAACCCAGGACCAAGAGAAAGATGGCACGATAGTGTGCCCTTCCAGAATAGCCCACAATGACCTATTGGATAGACCGCAAGAGCCATAGTACGACACAGAAGCTTCTCCCTGCCTCTCACCATGTGCACCGAAGAGGAAAAGAAAGAAGAAGAGGGGAACATTATGCTTTGCAACCAATACAAGAGAGGGGCTCTTTGCTTAGTACAAACAAAGGTCCCCACCAGACAGGCAGCTCCATGGAAACGAAGCTGTGCTGGAGGAATGCCGACAGCTGAAGGGGCCTCACAGGCCAGTGTGGGGCCTTCACCTACCCAGCTCCCTGCTTGGACTGTGTGACACACATCCCTGGCCCACAAGCTTAGGAGAAAAGTGACATAATCTACTTTTTATTATATATTTTATCTATACTTCTAGATAGTAGCTAAGGGCAGGCCCTGCAACCTAGTAACCTGGACGGAATCCCAAACCTGCTACTTAGAGTGTGCAAGATATTGGGCTCATTGTTTAATCATCCGGGCCACCTTCCCCCAACTGTGAAAGCTGCTGTGTGGCTTGGAGATGGCATGGAGGGAGGACCATGTGCTTGAGGATTGAACATTAAATAGCATCTATCCTATAGCCTGAACGGAATGTACACCTCACTCATATTTCTTAAAGGAATCCACCCACTTGCTTATTGCCCACAACTATCGAGACACGAGTTCAGTTAGGAATGCATGATCTCTTCCCTATTGCACCAGAGACTGCTCTGTGAAGCTGTTTGTAACAAGCTCCTGAAAATCCCACACCCTCCAGCCAAGCAAGACTGGGACTCAGATCTCTTCTAGGCCCCAAGCTAAGGACCCCTGCGGCCTCTACACAGTAGCATCACTACCTGGGGACCACAGACAAGCTGTGGTCTCCATCCTCTTATCAAATGAGATGCCTACCAACATGAAGAAGAACAGAGACAGCCTATCTCCATCAGATACCTACAACAGAGTATGGCAAGCAACTGGACAGAGGCCAGGCCTTTGCTCCACAGAGAGGTCAGAGGGAAGGTCCTGCTGTCAGGACATGAGGGCCTGCATGTGATATATTAGCATTCTCCTAGCTTCCCACATGGCCACAGACAAGAGGCCCTCTCCTCAGCAGCTACCACCTAAATAAGCAAAAAGAACTGGAAAGCTCTCTAGATAGCCCTATCTCACTTCAGACTGGAAACAAGGAAAAGAAAAATCTTTGACTCGTCCTTGTTGCCAAGGACAAACTGGACCTAGACTCTGGTAGAGACACATGAGTGCTGCAGTTTGCACCCAGCTGGCCCGACCCTGGAACACTAGAGAATGGTCACACAATCATAGCCTCCTTTGGACCGTCCAAGGCCCAGGGCACTACAATTCAGGAAGAAGGGCTCTCAAGCTATGCTGGATGGAATTACTGGCCCTAAAAAAATTAGTATGCATATGTCCATGTGTGTGCCTATTAGACTCTGTGTGTTTACCTGTTAGACTCTGTATGTATACCTATCGATCCCTGTGTGTGCACACCTATTAGACTCTTATGTGTGTACCTTTTAGACTGTGTGTGTATACCTTTTAGACTGTGTGTGTACCTATTAGACTCTGTGTGTGTACCTATTAGACTCTGTGTGTACCTATCAATCTCTGCATGTGTACACCTATTAGACTCTATGTGTGTACCTTTTAGACTGTGTGTGTGTACCTACTAGACTCTGTGTGTGTGCCTATTAGATTCTGTGTGTATACCTTTTAGACTGTGTGTGTGTACCTATTAGACTCTGTGTGTACCTATTAGTCTCTATGTGTGTGCCTATTAGACTTTGTGTGTATGCCTGTTAGACTCTGGGTGTATACCTATTATTCTCGGTGTGTACACCTATTAACTTTGTGTGCACACCTATTAGACTGAGTGTGTGTACCTATTAACTCTGTGTACACACCTAGTAGACTACTCTGTATACACACCTATTAGACTCTGTGTGTGTAACTATTTACTCTGTGTGCACACCTATCAGACTCTGAGTGTGTGCCTGTTAACTCTGTGTACACACCTATTAGACTCTGTGTGTGTAACTATTTACTGTGTGCACACCTATCAGACTCTGAGCATGTGCCTGTTAACTCTGTGTACACACCTATTAGACTCCTTTCCACCTATTTCAAAATAAAAGAACTTCAGGGAAAGGCAGTGGCCATACCTTTTCTTCTAGGTGCTCTCTGACTGTGGCTCAAATGTATCCTCCCTGAAAAATTCATGGGCAGGAAAAGTAATCCCAAATCCAAATGTGGATGATATTTGGAGGTGAGATGTTTGAGAGTCAGTTATAATTAGATAAAGTTAATAAGGTGGTGTTCCCAACATGATGCTGATGGTTTTATATGAGAAAGAATGACCTAAGCTAGTTTGCTTAGTGTGATCATGTGATACCCTCCACCATGTTATCATGCAGCAAAAAGATGCCAGGAAGCAAAAAGCCCCCTGTGCATTATAACTTATCCAATCTGTGCCATTCGGTTATAGCAACAGAAAGCAGCATAAGACATCATTCTTAGTATATTAGGTATGAGAAGGGAGCTAGGGGTGAATGCCTGTAAGAGAATGCTGGAAGGAGAAAGAAGGCCAGGGCGGCAAATTTGCCAACCATTTTAGTGTAGAGGAAGTTCTCTTGTGTACCCAAAAATGCCCAAAATGGATAAAGGATCTTTGACATTTTTCATAATCATTAAATAACTTAATCCAAGTCCAGGCATTAAAAATTCACTATGAGTGATTTTCAACACAGAAAAAATGCCATTTTCTGTTGAGTACCTGGATAGCAATACCAGAAAAGTCTCTTTAATTACAAAATTCAACCACTCATTCTAAACAGTATCTATCACTAATAAAGTTGCACCTTTAACGTTGGAAAGAAGTTATTGGTTGATGGAAGAGAAACCAGAGGCAGGATTTAAACTAGACTCTACTACTCACATCTGGAACACTCAGAAGCTTGGAAGCCAAGGCTCCCTTTTGGCCTCGGCTCTTTAGTTCTTAGCTATTTGCCCCTGAGCAAGCTGACTCACTTTTGCCTGTCTCCTCAACTCTTGAACTAGATCAGTGATTTCCAAGCTGTGTTCCCTATTGCTTAGTGACCTTGGGATTTCCTCACCTCACATTTCTCCCAGGAAGGAGAAAATGTGAAAGGCATGGCTAGCACAGCTCATATATACGTATGGGGGAAGCAGATCTTACCAGTTATTCTACCCACTGTTCCTTTCACAAAGTTGCCAGCGTATCCAGCCACGTGGGCTCCAAGGCTGTAGCCAATCAAGTGAACGTTCCCAAGAGAAAACTCTTCTTTCTCCTGCAAAAAGTCATCAAAGGGTGTAGTTCTGAGCCTCCAGGGCCACCAACAATTCAACTTGTGCATCATAATAGAAGGATCACAGGGGTCACAGAGATGTAAGACTCCATACAGCATCACCGGCATTGCTGACATGCAATATGGATGGCCCACCAGGGACAGGGAGTTCTAAAGGACTCAGTGATGCTTGAAATGCCAAAGGGGCAGGACGGTGGGAGGCATGCCTGAGCATTCCTCTGCAAGCTCTCCTACAAGGTTTCCTTTCTTTGGTGTAATGTTTAGAGAACACAGGTGGATCAATGTAGAGGTCAAAGATACCACACCCACAGCAGACCAAAGTGCCAGCCAGGACCATGACCGTAATAACCTGCTCCCTTCCAGTACTCTTAGACTTTGACCTCTACTTTACCAGAAGTGTCTGACTCCTCACCTTAAGTTACCTGTGCTCCCACAGCTGGAGCAGTGTCCCCACAGCTGGGGAAGAGGGGGGATGCCGAGGTGGAACTTTGACCCCTGGCTCAAAAAACAGTCTTTCTAGCACCCCGGAGCAAAGTATTGCTCTCAAATTTCACCCAGGATCCTGCCATGAATCATAAGATCCCCCATGAAGTGAAAGCGATGTTGGAAATGCTCAACATCTAGGTCGATTTGCCAGTAGACCCCTTGTCCCTCCTGCCTGTTAAGTCTACTGGTTAACTTATAAAAAGTCCCGACAAGACCTCAAGATCTGTTCTGCATGCACTGCTTTGAACAACACAGTGGTTGATCCATTTGAAGCAGCCTTCTTGCTGTTCCTTCGCACAGCCACCCTCCAAAGTCATGAGCAGTCATCTGTGGCTCCTTCAGATGGAAAACCAGCCCTGGCTTCTGGCCATTCTCAACAGCCCTAAGGACATCAGCTTCTGAGGTTGGGAACTAATCTCCCACAAGGCTTTCTTTTTTTTCTTTTTCTTTTTTTTTTTTTTTACAGCAACTACAGTAACAAAAAATCCAGAGATCTATCAATCATTAAAGGGCTCTGATGCAGGCTTTGAAGTAGTTCATGCAGTGCTTTAATTTAGCAAAAATTATAATGCTGGAGATTTTGATCATCCTCGAAGTGCACAGTAACAACGTGTGCTCCGCGTTCCCTAAGAGACTGCGGGCTTGAGGTCCTGCTTACCTTAAGAAACGGAAAAGAAAGAAAAACCCAATGGAAGATGGCTCCCTTTCGTCCCTGCTTACCTGCAGCCAGTCAAGCATCCCAGCCACTCTCTGCCCCACCACCCTGGTGTTGTTGACCGCATCTATGTACAGCTGATGAGCCAGGGGCAGCCAGTCAACCACCACCACATTAGCGTCTCTCTCTCTTGTCTGCAGGGCTGACACAAGTTTGTGCAGCCATTTTTCCAACATGCCACTCATCTGCAAAGAAAACAGGAATAGTATTTTTCTGTTACTTCTCATTCTGCACTTCAGAAATCCCATGATCCTCGGCCCGGCTGACTGGGCCTTCACGGTGGCTGCTGAAGAAATGAAGAATTGCCCACATGCAAGACAGCCAGAGGATGAAAGACTTGATGCCTTCTTTCCCCTGCTGGTCTTCACACCTCAGTTTCCCGTCAGATTCTTTCATAGCTGATGTGCTGTACATGGGTATTGGTGGTGAGAATGGCGTGAGGTTAGTCTGAATCCCTGTCACAGTCAGGCAAGTGGCCTGGTCCATCCTTCAAGGAGTTAGAGAAGGTTGCCTGGGAGAATTAGCTCCTCCCTTAGAAACACACTGTCACTTAGGCAAACACCAAGTTAACAAATGATTCCTTCCCACAACCCATCTCTGCCATCCTCTTGACCTCAGCTTAAGAAGAATCCACCCGTGGAATCCCAAATTAGAACTCAGAACACATTTTCCCACAGAAACAACATTACACATGGTGACTAGAAGCAGTTGTAACCTATCCACATGTACATTATCAAATAAATAGATTTTTTGTGCTTAGCCTGGGAACCAAAACACTATTTACAACTTGCTTCTATGGGAAACTACCATTCCAAGTTCCAAACACAGTACAAAAGAACTTTCTGGAATGCTCCCCATTGGTAAGCTGCAGTCAGTTAGTATTTGCATTTTGACAGGAAGACCTTAGAAAAATTCAAATGTGAGATTCTGCTTGTGTCCTGAGGGATGAAGACAGACAGACAGACCCCCAGTCATCCCTTCATTCACTATAGGAAGGTAGACTCCTACCTTCCCAACTCCCAAGCCCCTCCCCAACTGTTGACAGTAGATCTGAAGACCCAGCAAGAATGTAACGGATATGAATTTCTCATCATTAGGAGGAGGAGGAACGTCCCCTCCCAATTAGTCCAAGCAGAAACCTGCTCACTTAATAGTGCCATTTTCCTACAGACTGTCATTCTATAAATGAACAAATCCCTTGCTGGCCAAGAGTTTCTGAAGCTGAGTGTTAAAACCCTTTTTTGTTGAAGTTTGTCATGGGCCTTTCAATGGAAATTGCTCAGCGAGGGCACATAAAGAACCCCAGTGCCTTTAAACGGGGCCATCTCTATGCAAACAGGAGGGCAGCATGCCAATAGAAGCCAGCCAGCCAGGCCAGCTGGCCCCACAGATCCTCTGAGCCAGTTAAGTTGCTTCAGTTCAGCTCCTGCTCTTGGAGCAGGATGGGCCCCCTCCAGGCAGTGGTTGGCCAATGTAATTAAGTATAATTAGAGCTCCTTCAGAGCTAAGGGAGTTGGGCTGCTGGCCTCGGGAGAAGCACTTCCTGAAAGGCCATTGCACGCCAGCACTAAATGCCACCCTGCTGAGTCCAGATTGCCCCCTCTGAGAAGCGCCCATTACATTCTTCACAGCTGTCTGAAATACAAGCAGCCCACAAGGATGGGAGGGGGAGGGTTTGGAATCTGGAAGCACCGCTATTCTTTTTAATTGACCAAAACAAAAGGAATCAAATCTTATAAAAAGCCGCAGAACCCCCTCCTGGGCTCACCGTCCATCCATGAATGATGAAAAAGGTTTTGGCTGTCATGTTGAAGCCACAGTCTTCCAAGAGTTGGTTGTCACCAAGGAAGAGATTGCACCCTTCGTGTTCTGGGTCCTTGGAAGTGCGGATGTTAAAAGCCACAGAGGGTTTGACAGTAGCTGGTACTCTAGTGGGTTTATGATGTTCATCTGGGGAGAAAAAAACAGGGTAAATACTTGTGGTGGCTGGGGTAGTAACTTCTAGTTCAGTCTTAAGCAAATAACTTGTCATTTGGATTTTAGTTTTTACAACTACTGAGCCTTTCCTCCTTTCAACCTGTGGATCAGACATTTACATTACGATTCCTAGCGGTAGCAAAATTACAATTATGAAGTAGCAACAGAAACAACTGAAACTACTGTACATGCACTATCTCAACTATCCTCACTGAGTGCTAATTAGTCTATTGGAATAAGCAGCTGTCTTTCTTACTTTTCTTTATTCTTCCCCACCAAACTGATTTTCCCTTCCTTTCTTCCCTCCCTCAAATTCCTACCTGTGAGTGTGGCTCCTCCTTTCCTGAAATACTTAAGACTAGTTGAGTCAAGAACTTAGAAATTTTCATATTAAAAAAATCCTTATAGCCAGGCACAATGGTGTATGCCTGCAATACCAGCACTCTTGAGGCAGAGTTAGATGGAGGCAAGATGATTGTAAATTCTAGGCTAACCTGGGCTAGCCAGAGTTTCAAGGTTTCAAGTAACTCTGAGTTCATGTTCTCTCTCTCTGTGTCTCTGTCTGTCTCTCTGTCTCTGTCTGTCTCTCTGTCTCTGTCTCTGTCTCTGTCTCTCTCTCTCTCTGTCTCTCTCTCTCTCTCTCTCTGTCTCTCTCTCTCTCTCTCTCTCATAGACCTGGTGGCTCATACCTATAACCTATAATCTCAGAACTTGGGAGGCTGAAGCAAGAGGACTCCTGTGAGTTTGAGACCAGCATGGGTGACATAGTAAATTCCAGGCCAACCTGGGCTTTATAGCAAGGCTGGAGAGTGGGCAGGTGGTGACAGAGAGAATGAAAGTGACATTGGGGAGAGAAGGTACCACATATCACATGGCAGCCCCAGCGGAGTCTGGGGTATCCCTCATGGGTCAAATGCACTAGAATCTCTGCACAGAAACATAGGACAACTCATGCTCTACAGCGAAAATACAAAGATTACAAATAGCTTTCTATCAGGGTCTGCTGCCAGACGAGCTGAGAGTGTGTAAGGTCAGATTCTTGCCATACAACTTTCCAGTAAACGCAGTTTTGAGAGATTTGGGATTTTGCAATTGAAGGGTATTGATCCACTCACTGCACAAGCAGCTTCCCTGGAATTCCCATTTTTGATCCAACACTTACTCCCAAGACCTTACACATTCTCGGGGCTCTTTGCAGTGGCAAAGGGCACCATTTGTTACTCAAAAGGCTGAAGCCATGGGAAAATTCCTCACCACAGCAAAGCTGCCCCTGCCAGCTCTCTGTCATATACAGTGCTGCTTTTTCTTGTTCCCAGGACATAGCACTAATGGCCACTCTATGACCATGTGACACCAGGTAGGCACTGTCTGTAAAGATAATCACTAACTGACCCCCACCTTCACTCATTCCACCATCCTAGTGAGCTTCTCTTGATAATGGATTAGGGAAATAGAGTGCACTCTCCTGTTACCCAGGAGTCACAGGGAGATACCAAATGGACATCCAGGAGCTTAATTCAGAGTTAAGAACAGGAGGATAAGCCAGTTCTGGGGGCACAAGGCTGTAATCCCAGTTACTGTGAAGGCTGAGGGCAGGAAGATTGAAGATGGGAGGCCTGTCTGAGTACAGAATGAACTGAAGGCAAATCTGAGTAACTTAGCTAGTGCAGCTTCCCGCTTTCTAAACACTAATAACAGGACCAAGGATGTCGCTTTGTGCTAGAATGCTTTGTGTACATGCTTAACGCCACAGATTGGTTCGCCAGTACTGAAAAGACCCACAAGGGAGCCAGGAAGTAGCTCGGTGAGTTTGATCCCCAGCACCCCAGGAACCAGGTGTGGTGGTCCATGCGAGTTCAAGGTCAACCTCAGCTGCACAGTGAGTTTGAGCCAAGTCAGGGCTACAGTAGACACTACCCCCCCAAAAAAAATAAAGGGGGGAGCAGGAAGAAGAGGAGGAAAAGGGGGATTGGGCAAAGAGACCATAGCTATGGAGAGGGTGGTGGTGAGATGGGACAAGGAGATACAAGGGGTTGGGGACATATGCCAGATGTAAGAGGGATAAAATCCAGAAATTGCCCCTAAAGACACATTACCAGAACAGGGGTTATATGTCATGAAATTAAAGCCATAACTGACAGAGATTTAAGCTACAGACGTTGTCAGTTCAGTTCTCCAACCGGGACAGCCGCCCCCACGGAGAGCAGGTGGGGTGGCTTAGTGGAAAAGGAGCTCTTAGCGGCGGAGACGGAGTTCAGGCTAAACCCACACAGAGACAAGTAGGACTGCCCTTGTCTAGGTTGCACCGACCCCACCACTCCGTAAGAACAGGGTCACTTTGGCATTTGGGCCTTTGTGATAGTTCTTTACCCAGATGTCCTTGCGGTTCATTCCCTCAGCTCCTTGCTGAGGGGTCAAGTTCTAGACCACACACTAAAAGGCACCACGCTCCCTCAACAGCCCTTTCGCCTCCCGCCTCAGCGTCACTTTCCTGCCTCGCTCTGGGTGTCATTTACATACCGCTGAGATGAGGTCCCACAAGGATAAGGACTGCCATCTAGTCTGTTCTTTGCTGCCTTCCCCCACCATCAAGAGTTCCTGGTACTAGAATGCAGCCATACTTTTCAAATGAATGGCACCACCCCCTAAATACTCGGAACCACAGAACACAAAAGCTTGAAGGAACTTTAGAATCCTTCAGGAAAGGAACTAGAAATGCCATCTACCCCAAGCCACGCCTCTAGCTAACACTCAAACTGGAAACAAGGTAGGAGGAGAAGGTAGGTTTTTCCTGTTCCTTTCGTCTTAAACTCCCACGTGCCTAACAGGGATTCCGGAGCTCCTGACGCGCTATCTGCAGACTGGATGAAATGATAGGTCGTGATTTAAGCGCTCCGGAACCCTCCACTGCTTAACCAGCTGCTGCTGGTTCCGGATGACCCCACCCTCACTCCACCAGGGCAGGTTGCCTCCGGTGAAAGTGTCCTACCAAACGAAAGAAGAGGAAAAGCGATGCTAGAAGGAAGGGGGAGGATGGAGGAATGGGCAGAGGAGGGAAGGTTGTTTGGGAAAAAGTTACAGAGCAGAGGTCCCTTACAAGCACTTATCAATCTGAAGCCCGCCCCGCCGACACCTTAACTTCCAAAACACCTAAGCGCTGATGAAGGGGACGGGGGTGAGGGGGCCGGGGTGGGCGGGGGGTGAGGGCGGAAGTTAGAACTCTAAGAATTTCCTGGCCTCTCCAACCTCCAAAACTAAGACAAGGTTTAAAACATGGTATAATTTAAGTGAGGCTGGAAGGCAGCTCCTAGCCGGACAGCGCTGATTAATGGAAGTGGGAGGAGGCAAGAGAGAGGACTCCAGCCCACGCACACTCCCCGTTCGCCGGCTGCCTCTAGGATGGCTTGCTAGCGGATGCTCTCATCCGAAACGCCAAGACAAGTGACCTCCAACACCAAGGAGAACGCAGCGCAGTGGGAAAGGATACCTTTGGGGCTTGGAAGTCGGCAGGACTGTGAGGGCCCAGCGCAGAAAAGTGGGAAGAAGAGAAATAAAAATAAATGCACATTACCTCGCAGCGACCCCTGGGGACGTAAGGTTGTGAGGCTTCCCGCCGGGAAGCAACAATAGACGCACCAGAAGTAGAGCAGGAGAACAGGGTTTCGCATCCTTCCCTGCCACGCCCCCTCCTCTCAAACAAGTTTGTTTGTTTGTTTGTTTTCTGTTTTTCTTTTTAAGCCACTAAAACCTCCCGAGTCTAGAAGTGGGCAGCCTGGTCTTGGCCAGAAAGTGATTTGCTGCACAGCTGGAGGAGAATCTGGTAGGTTAGTAGCGCTGCGCGCCGCGAGGGAGAAAAGAAGCCAGTGGAAGGACTGGTCCTCTCCCGGAGCCTCCGCGAAGCCCCGGGGACTCGCCGCTGTCACACCGGGAGCTCCAGGAGAGGTACTTTTTAAAAGTATTCCAGTCATCTGACCCATCGCCAGATGGTTATTTGCATAATTTATTCCCGTCTCGGAACGCTGATTGGTCATACCTCTGACGCCAAACCGAGAACTCCCCAAAGTTTGAATGAAAGTGCCACACACCCACCACGTGGACGCCCGCAGAGACGAACTAGTTACTTCTCTGGCCCTCTCCATGGGGTGCCATGACTATAGCCGCCCCTGCCTCCCCTCTTATTCCTGGACTCCCAGATTCTCCACTTGCCTGCTGGATCCCACAAAGAACAGTCCCCCGAAACGATGCTCCCACTGGAGAAGAGATCCCTGGAGTCCGGAGATCATCCTCCTCAAGGTGGGGGGAGCCAGCCAGCGCCGGGATGCTTGCTCTCCGCACCAGAGGCCGAGAGTCGGGATGAGGGAAAGCCACATGGTCGTTTGTTCCCTTTCTCTTGCAGCTTTGACCCAGGTGCAACCCCGTGATGGGCAAACGCTAGGCAGATCCAGGAGCTGTGCGCCGGGGCCTGCTTTTTAGAGTTACACAACACCCCCCCACACTTCATTTCTAGCTGCGACACTCCGGACAAGTCACCCAACTTCTCCAAGGCCATTTTTTTCATCCGAAAGTAAGGGGGTGGACGTTCCTGGGGCTTGGGGGATCGCGGGGAAATTAACGCGCTCGCGAAGGAAAGCGCTTAATGCGGGTAGGTTTTCCGTTGTCACTGGGAAGTAGAACTGGAATGCTACAAGCCTCCCTTCCGAAAGGGAAGGTGAGCCCAGAGAGGGTCTAGACATGTGGCCCAACCTCTGCCACGCGCCCAACTTCCCGGTGAGTGGAATTAAATATCCTCCTCCCTTCTCTCCATCTTTTTCTCCCTCTTCAATCTGCATCTCCTAGCTGTGAGCTGCCAGCGGAGAAACTGTGACCCGCTGTCCGCAGTTCCAGAGAACCCAAGTTACTGAGTCCGGGGCGGCGGCAGTGGAGACCCTGAACGCAAGGCCAACTGGAAACCGCCGACTCAAGGCTGAGTGTCCCCATCGAGCCTCCTTCAGCTAGGGAAAACTGCTCTGCTGGCCGCACCCTGGACGACTGCGAGAAAGGAGAAGCCCCGCGTCCCTTCTCCGCTAGATAAGCACTCCAGCTGCAGGGGCTGGTGTGAGGAAACTGGGTCCTAGCGAGTAGGTCCTGTTCTGTGACTCTGGCTGCCAGACAGCACACTTCGTCACCAGTCAACTCACGTGTGCTGTCACCAATTAACAAGAGGTAGATTGACTTTATCTTTTGAGTACTTGGTGCAATCTAAGGGATGGTTATTGTCACCCTCCTGGTCCCTCCCACTGACCCATTCCATTGGCAAAGTACAAGCACAGGCCAGGTGTCTCTTGTAAACAGGCACTGGACTGGCTGTGAAGGACGCCGTCTCTCCCTGCTGCCCTAGGCTGGCCTTAGCATATTGTCCTCTAGATAGGAGCCTTGGCACGCTTTATAGCTAAAACCAGGGGCTACCCTGTTATACTTAATTTTAAAAAAGTCTCCCCTAGCTGGGAACAACCAAGTTAAGTGTACATATATGCTGAAGTTCCCGGAAGCTTTCTTCCAAGGCTCGCTCCCTCCCGTTCTCTACCGTTTTGGTTTTATTTGTTTGTTTGTTTGTTTTTTACTACCCTTGTCCCAATAACATTAACTGAACAATATGCAGGTGTGTCTTGGAGACCTTTTTCATAGCGAGACAACCTAGGAAGAATAAGTATTCCTGCTTATCCTTCCTGGCGAAACAAACAAGGCTCAACAATATTAACATCGGTGGTTTTCAGACAGGGAATTGAAGTTTCACTACTAGTTGGTTAGGGCGCCCTCCTGTGTTTCCATATTAAAACAATGTGAGACAATCTTAGCATTAGAATGCAAAGGATCCGTTCTCCTTCATACTTCCAGGGGAGTTTTCAGCTGCAAGATTTTCGGTAGAAGCTTCTGTTGGGCTGCAACCAAGATTACATGGTCTACCGTGGTAAAGAACTCTACCCATTCATTTGGGGCAGTCAGCGTCTTAAGGCCAGTGTTAGTTCGCATGTGCTAAGAGCCCACATTCCGAAGAAAGCACTTAACCCCCAGCCTCACTTGCATAGGTCCCCAATTTAACCTCAATGAACCGACTGCACTGGAATATAGTGAGGTTTGTATCAATCGACCGTGCCCGAAAAGGACCAGCTCTTCTTATCTGGTATGGTGGCAGCAGAGTCGCCACTAAATTAGTGTACAGAGAGGTTCAGACTAACCTCCTTCTTCACTGAGTCCTAGTTGGGTTGCTCAGCTCCAGCTGCTACTGAATGCTCCAGTAACGAGTTCTTTCACATAAATTATCCAGAGCTATTCATATTACTTAAACTTAGAAAATGGCTTGCTCATCTGGGGTTTACGGAGCAGCTTCTAAAAGGAAACGCAGGCCTGGGGGATTCAGAGTGTCCCAGAGGCCATCCTCACCTTCCGTAGCCACAATTGGAAATGAAGGTATTCCCAGAAATCTAGATCACAGCTGTGTTAGTGAGCTCAGGCACACACAGAGTCCCTTAAACAGCTGTTTATTTTTGCAGTTCTGGGAACTACAAGTCCAGGATCAGTGTAGTAACATTGTCCAGTTATAGTGACTGCCTTCTCACTGTGTTCTCCCATGGCATAGAGAGAGTGCTAGTGTCTCCTTTAACAACCGCCCTAATCCCATAATAGGTCCTACCTCAAGACATCACCAAAATATAACCACCTCCCAAAGGCCCCAACCCTAACACTGGGACTTCAGCGTATCAATTTGGAGAGCACATTAGTCCAAAGTGTCATGTACATAATCGTGCATTCTTTCTAGTAGCTATATTATAAAGGTAAAAAAAAAGAAATGCATGACGTTAATTTTAGCCACGTGTATTTTATACCGATGCACTCAAGATACTATTTCAAAACTGTTCCAAGGGCTGCAGAGATTGCTCAGTCAATAAATGTCTGTCATGCCCGTGTGAGTACATAAGTTCAGTCCCCATCACCTGCTTAAAAGTTAGATCCTGCAATGAATCGTGTGATCCAAGTACTGGGAAGATAGAGACAGGAGACTCTCTGGGGCTTGATATTTACTCAAATCAGCAAGCTCTAAATTCAGTGAGCAACTCTTGTCTCAGAATATAAAGTGGAGGACAACAGAGGAAGAAACCAGATGTTGACCTCTGATGACCCCAACACACACACACACACACCACAAATTATTCCAACATGATGCCAATATGAACATCATTAATGGAGCATTTAAAATTCTTGTTTTGAAATGCAGACTAGCCACACTTCAAGTGTTCATTAGTCAATGGCTACCACATTAGACAGACAACTCTATGGTATCAAAACTAAATCCAATCTGAGAGATTTGCCAAGTGTGCCATTTCCCTTTAGGGATAATGAAATGGAAACGCAGCCAGATTAGTGATTGAAAAAGCAGGGATGGATCTAAGCATGGTAATCCCTATGCTTGGAAAGCCGAGGCAGGAGGAGCCTTGGCTCAAGGCCAGCCTGGAACACAGTGAACTTCAAAGCAGCCTGGGCTCCATGGGGCAACACTGCCTTACAGAAGTGAAAAGGAAAAGTAAGAAAGAGTAATAGTGGACTAGGACAACCAGACTTTGTAGAAAACCTGGAATAAAGCTGCACTGTTGCCTCATAAAAAGAAGAAAACTCACAAATATGACCCTATCAAATATTAAACACAGCATTGTGCTAGATGCTATAGGAAACTCAAAAGAGATGAAAACATACTCCATGGCTTACTCAAAGTTCAGAGAAGAGAAAAACACACACATGTAAATGGGGCTGGTAGAAAAGACTATGGGTGAAGCTAAGACTCACAGAGACTTTGATAGATGGGCTTGTGTCCCAACCCCTGGCTCTGGGATCTCCCTACGTTATTTATTGCCTGCAGAATTAGGAATGCCAGTGCCACAGCTAGGTCACAAGAGTGGCATCTGAGTAATAAATAGTGTGACACTCCCCTCCACAAAGTAAAATGCCAGACGCTTCCAACTCCCCAAGTTTCCATCAGCAACAACACTTCGTACAGAAGAGGTGAGCTGGCTCAAGGTGGTCCGGGGTGTGGCCCCAGGGTGTTCACATGGAATGAATGTGGGAAAACTGAGCAAAGCGAGCTGAGTCTGGCTTTTTTTTTAACTGCAGTATTTCTCAGGAGCGTTCATATACTTGCAACCATCCTATGATTTTGGCTTCGAGATCCAGGCCCTCAATGCACCCCACAATCCAGTGGCCCACAACCACTGTATGGAAGACCTCGGGTAGCATCATATCATCTCGAGTCACACCCTCTTTTCTCTGCCTCTTGCCACGTGGTCTTTCCAGCTCCTCTGGTTCTATCCAGGCCAGTGCTGCACTTTGGTCCTTGGAACTCACTTCAGTTTGTAAGTATGCATTATTTATTTAGCTATTTGAGTGATGTCCATCCCCCTCCTAGGAGAAGTTCCATGAAAGCAGCAGTTGGATTTGGTTCTGCTTATTATTTCCACAGATGCCAACACAAAGCCGGACACACAAAAAGAGCTCATTTAATATTCGTTGAATGACCCTGAAAATGAAATATATTGTGACTCTCTGAGACAGGGAGAGATTATTCAGTCTTTGCTAAATTTGACCTGAGCACTCATGCCATGAAGGGTTTACGGAGGGACTGGAATTGTATGGGAACACAGTTTGGACAGCACAGAGTCAGGGACTGAAGGGAAATGAGCCTAAATCCCAATCCTATTCCCCGTATGATCCCAGAGGGCTCTGCTGAGGCAGCTCTGGGTGGGCCTGCTGTGATTTCTTTCGTGTTTGTGTTCCCTCTTTTACACATAAGGACCTGAATTATTTTATTCAGGGACATGGAAACCCTTGTGTGGTGGTGCATGCCTGCAATCCCAGTGTTTAGGGGCTGACACAGTAAGATGAAGACTTCAAGCCAGGGAGACCCTACTTCAAACAAATCAAAACAAGGCGGCAAAAGCAATAAGTAATCCTCCTTGTAAAGATAATTTAATGAGACCTCATTTGTGCAGGCTGTGCATAGTTTCATTTTCCTCATATATATAATGTGGAAGGTCAATGCAATATGGAATCTAATATATTTATTTACCAGAATAAGAACTTACACACAAAAGGCTGGGGAGTCAGAAGCATGGCAGGCTTCCAGGGGAAGAGAGAAGAGGGATTCGTTTCTCTTTCATTTCCTTTTATCTCCACCTGTCCTAAATTTCCTTATGCTGGCCCTTAGGGTGGAGAGCTTTGTGGGGCTCACCCCTACACACACACACACACACACACACACACACACAAAGGAATCACTTTCTAGAAACCGATCCATGCTATCATATTTCTCAGGGGAGAAGCCATATACCATGGTCCTGTTACAGATCAACTCTGAGGATAACATGAGAAATATGTAAAAAGCTCGATTCACATTTAACCTCCTCCAAAACACAACCCACAGTGATTATTTCAATCTACTGTATTAACAGTCTTCTCTGACTAACCCCTACACAAATGCTAGATGAGCCTTGATGAGATCATCAGAGACCTTCAGGATCCCGAAGAGGTTGGCATCTCCAAGGCAAAGACTGTTGCCAGAGCTGTTCCTCTTGGAGAAAGCCAAGCTGAGGCAGGATACCATTGAAGACAGCCTGCCCAGACCCTACCTCCACACTCTGCTTCCGAGGGAGTGGAGATGGACAGAACATGGAGATGGAGTCAGAGGACAAATGGGAGGACCACGCAAGCCAGCTAAGTTCATCGTTAAGGGGCGTGCATACTTCTGAAACCATAAGGGAAAAATAATTAAGCTTGAACTGAAATGCTCCATTTTCCCATAACTGGCTCAGCAAGTTCAGAAGAGCTGAATGAATAGACCCTGTCCCAGTTAGGGTTACTATTGTGTGTAATGAAACATCATGACCACAAGCAAGTTGGAGAGGAAAGGATTTATTTGGCTTACACTTCTATATCACTGTTCATCATCAACGGAAGTCAGGACAGGAACTCAAACAGCAAGAACCTGGAGGCAGGAGCTGATGCAGATGCCTTGGAGGGATGCTGCTTAGTGGCTTGCTTCCGGGACTTGCTCAGCCTGCTTTCTTATAGAACCCAGGGCCACCAGCCCAGGGATAGCACTGTCTGCAATGGGCTGGGCCCTTCCCATCAATCACTAAGAAAATGCCCTATAGCTGGATCTTACGGAGACATTTTTCTCAGTTGAGGTTCAGTTCTCTCAGATGACTGTAGGTTGTGTCAAACTGACATAAAACTAGCCAGCACCGGCCCATAACCACAAGAAAAGATGATAAAGTAACTAACTATCCTACCTACCCACTAACCCATACACAGCCAAGTACATACGGTTCCTCCAATAAATTTATTTATTTTTATTTATCATTTTACCGCCCAACTGATGAATTTCTTTATACTATCAAATTCCTGGGTAAATTCAGTTTTTCACCCATTCTGTTTCTTACACTGACATAGCAGAACACAGAGAAAACCAGAGACTTCCACTAATTTAAATCCATGACCACTAACGTCAACTGGCTTTTTAATTCTGCCTAGTGATAAAACAGTATTCCCCTGAACCATTTGCCCCTCTTGGCCTCTCCTAGGCCACTCTCAATTGCCTCTCTCCTCAAACTTCCAGTGCCTTACCATCCTCATTCTCAGCTGATTCCTCACATCCACTTTATTGGGAAAATAAAAGCCAGATAGATTCACAGGTTACATTCCAGATCTGTACCTATGTCTTCAGCCTGCTTTCTTGTTACTGTGGAAGAGCTGTCTGTACTTCTGTCCAAGCAACACACACACACACACACACACACACACACACACTCACTCACCAGATTCCATTTCTTCTTATTACACAAGGACGTTATGCAACTGGTTTTCCCTCTCTGTTGGATCATTTCTGTCAACATACACATTTATAATCTGTTATATATAATAGATAATACAGGGGTTAGTAGAGAGGAGCTGAGACAAATTACACTTAAGAAGAGTGTGGAGTTACAGCCATGGTCAGGCCCGGAAGGGTGAAAGCAAGATGCAAAAAGCGCGTCAGTAGCAGAGAGAGATGTCAAGGATAGCATGGCAGGGCTAGTGCAAGGAAAGAGCCCGACTCTCCAGCTCCAAATAACAAAGGGTTAAAGCTTCTCACCCTTGCAGGTTCTGTTTATTTTGAGGGGGGGAAGGAGGGGAGACTCCACATCATATGGCCTAGGTTAAGTATCAGGATTCACAAGGCAGGAAGGCACTAGATGAAAGTAGAGTTATAATTCAAGGCTGTCTTGGGCCTGGGTGTCCGAGCTGTGTGACTTGCTCACAGCTGCAAAGGGGAGGGAGACTACAAGGTCACAGCAGGCTTTGCTTATCAACTCTGGGGAGGGACTGCACTGAGCGGCCTGGTTTCTGCGAGAGGGGAGTGGGAATCTGCGATCTAACACTCTCCACCAAGAAAAAAAAATTCTTCTTGACTCCACTTCCCACTCCAAACTCACCCTATTTCTCTGTTTGCCCTTTAAAGATTTACTGTGATTCTGGGTGTGGTGTCTCTCGCCTGTCTTCTGGAGGCTGAGACAGGAAAATTGTGAATCCCAAGTCAGTCTATGCTCTCTATTGGAATTCTGACCCAAGAAAGAAAGGAAGGGAGGAATGAAACAAAGGAAGGAAGAGTAAGGGAGGGAAGGAGGGAGGGAGGGAGAGAAGGAGGGAGGGAGGGAGAGAAGGAGGGAGGGAGGGAGGGAGGGAGGGAGGGAGGGAGGGAGGGAGGAGAGTTACATATCTGTCTACTCTCACAGACATCTTGGAAGCCGTTGATAATGTCCTTCTCAGAGCACAACTCCAGCCTGATCTCCCTCCGCTGACTCTGTATTGTTTGTACTATTTCCTCGTAATTGAAATATTTCCTCAGGGAAGGAAGAGGGAGGAGTAAGACTTAGGAAGTTCATGAAATTTAAGAAGGTTCAGGAAGTTACACAATTCATAAGACCCCTCCCAAGGTTGTAAAAGCGTCCACAATTGCTGGGGAGGGGGACTCTCCCACCAGCCATCTTCCTGCTAGTGTAGGGATATCTAAGGATGCAGCTTTTATGAGCTGTCACCCGCGCTAGGGTGGCTTTTTTGATCCTGCAGCTACTCTTAGGTCATCCATGTTTCTTGTAAGTACACAGTCACTGGTAATTCTATAAATGACTGCAACATAGTCACAGGGTCACTAAAGCAGACTTGAATAGAATCTTTAATTTGATCTGTCGTAGATTGTCAGTCAGGAATCAGTAGACATTTATTAGTCTCTCTAGGAAAAGTCACACAACACTCAGCAGCTGAGTTGCCCAAAAGACATCTGAGACACACTATGTCCAACACTGAAACTCTGATTGCCTCCCCAAGTCCACTCCTGCTTCAGGCCCGTCAAACTTAGCAAGTGGCAAACTAGTCCTTCCAATTGTTCTGACTTACAGCTAGAATTGGATTTTACTGTTTGGTTATCCCACATCTAATAAATTCCAGAAGCTCTATGTGATGGCTACTTTTAACTGCCAACTTGGCCAAACCTAGAATCAGCTGAGAAGAGAGTCTCCATGAGGGACTGCCTAGAGATGAGGCTGGTCTGTGAGCATGTCTGGGAATATTGTCTTGATTATGTTAATTTGTATGGTAAGACAGGGTTTGAATCCTACCATGTATGAATGGACAGCTGAGCAATAAGCATGTGTGCATTTGTTCTCTCTCTGCTCTTGACTTCGGAGATGAGGAGCTGCCTTAATTTCACCATGGTGATGGACAATGACAGGGAACCCTGGGCTAAAATAAATCCTTTACCACCTCACTTCTTTATGTCAGTGTGTTTTACCGTAGCAGCAGAAATAAAGCTAGGATACTTCACCTCCAAGATTTGTCTGGAATCTGACCTCCTCTGACTGTTCCCACCATGCTCCAATCACTAGCACCTTTCACCTGTAAACCATAGCCTCCAGTGACTCGCTTATCCATTCAGGGTGAAGGTGGCCTCTGCTCCATAAGCCTCCCTTGCCTCTGGGACATGAGTTCTTACTGCCCTCCCTCCTTCATATCCTGGGCATGTTTTCACATTGGACCACTGATCTCGGAGATGATACTAACAGGGCTCACTCTCCCATGTCTGTGCTAGGATGTCTCTGTCCTCCAGACTTAAAGATGAAGTCCCCTACCCTCAATAAGCTTGTTTTCCTTTCTTGTTTTATATCCGTAGTGCTTACACCATCTGACATGTTCTGCGTCCTGACTGTGACTGTTCGCAATCTGCTCCACCCACTAGGATGGGGAGGATTTGTGTTGATTTTGATTTTGCTGTATTCCTAATGCCAAGGCTTCCTTATTAAAGAAACACACGATAAATTCCTGAAGTATCTCAATTTTTGAAAGCCAGGTAGAAAGTAAAATCATGAAAATTCTTCTACTTGCCAAGCTAGAACAACTGATGTCAAATCTGGCAGAGTGAAAAACAAAAGAGAAGGAGAAGAAAGCTGTCAGCCCGCTTCATTTTAAATAATTTACATGAAAATATTAGCAAATAAAGCTTAGTGGCATGTGAATGGGGAAAAAAGTCATGATCAGATGATTCCTAGATTCCGTCTATAAATGGAAACAAGCATATATAGATCAATGTAAGGAAATCTATGAATGTGATTCACTACGTTTATACATCAAATGAAGTCAATAAAAAGAATCAGAAATAAGATAATTCAGTAGGGCTCTAACTCGGGGGCAGACCACTTGCCTAGCGTGCATAGAGGCCTGCTTTGCATTCCAGCACCACCTCCCTCCCCCCAAAAATCTACAGGGTTGCAGATGGTGATGCATGCCTATAATCTCAGACCCGGAAACAGAGGCAAAGGGATGGCAAGTTCAAAGCCAGTCTGGGGCAGGAGAGACAGCTCAGTGGTTAAGAACTTGACCACTATTCCAGAGGACCAGGGTTTCAGCGCCTAGAGGGCAGCTCACAACCCCAGCTCCAGGAGGAACAAAATCTGATGCCCTCTACTGGCCTCTGCAGGCACTGCATGTGTGGCTCGTGGCTATGCATACAGGCAAAATAGCCATACATATATTGTTTTTTTTTTTTAATTCAGTAGTGAGAATGATTGTTAATCTCTGCACTTGGGAGGCAGAGAGGAAGACAGATCGCTGTGAGACAGAGAGCGGCTTGGTCTACACGGTGAGTTCCAGGACCGCCAGGGCTGCATGTAGAGACCCTATTTCTAAAACGAAAACAACACCACATGATTGCAGATTTAGTATACAGAGGTCTACCACAGTCTCACCAGCAACTCATTAGGAAAGCCTGACCTAGAAATCCCAGCACTGGTGGGGCCATGGTAGCACACAGCTTTAATCCCCTGCATTTGGGAGGCACAGGCAAGCCAATCTCTGAGTCCGGTCTACAGAGTGAGTTTCAGGACAGCTAGAATTGTCTAGAGAAAACTGTTTCTAGAAAAACCCTGCCTTGAAAAAAGACTAGAGAGAGAGAGAGAGAGAGAGAGAGAGAGAGAGAGAGTCCCATGCTGCCATGCTGGCTTCTGGGGCTTCCATCTCTACAAAGCTGATGTAGAGTTCCTGAAGGCCATGGCACTTTTTTGCTGAAGGGCATTCACTATTCAAACATTTCATTGTATCCTATAAACTATGATCTCACACAAAAGCACTTGTTTAGCTAAAGCGTCACTTTAACTAAATTTACACACTATAAAACATAACGTAAAAAAACGATTACAAAAGTGGAGGATAAACTAGTTGTCCGGGCCTGACTGGCTAGGTTTCAATCTTTCCATTACTGCTTCTTTGTTATTTGTTTATGGGTCTTTTTTTATCTTCTGAGAGCAGGCAAATGGTAGAAAGCTCAAAGGCATCAAGAAAAATAAAGGCTTTTCTATGAGCCCAAATTCAGTTCAAATACGTCTTTTAAAGTGATAAATTTGAGTCTGTGTCTCAGGAAATAGGGGTGCAGC